AAAAAAAAAAAAAAAAAAAAAGGCTGGTGTTCCCCCAGGAAGTGGAAATAGCCAAACGTTATCTTCCAGAGAGCTTAAATTTTGGCAAAAGCAGGTTGAATCCTGATATTGCTGCTTTAGGTCAGTGTCAGGACCACAGATAACTCCAACCTGGTGGATCTGCCTCGGCGTCTGAGAGATGTTGTCTCACCCAAAGGGCGGATGTCTAACCAAGTTGGTCAAGCAGCTTAGAGAGATGTTGGTAGTTCCTAATTTGGTTTTCTAGGCACCGCCTTGTAAAAGGTGGAGGAGCAGGAAGTGAAACCAGAGATGTGTCTTCTGAATGAGGGGTGAAGGCACCTCCTCGTGCTTCTAGGGGACATTAGGGGCAGTATCCGTTCCTCCCTGAAAGGAGCATCCTGCATTTTTCCAATGGTAGCTCTTCCATGGAACAGCGTGAAAGGCAGGACTTGAAGCTCATGCTCTCCCATTTTGGCACGGTGTCTCCTGAAGGCTGGAACACCGCCACCTTCTCCGAGCTCTGAATGAGATACTCAGTGGGTATCACCCCTAACGACCCCTAACCAGAAAGTTTTTGACAATGCATTTTCCCCTTGGATCTATCTACCCTAGGATTCCGAGTTTTAAGACACTGCACCCTCAGTTCCAGTACGAACTGTGTTCACTGTAACCCCGGGTGGTACACCGAACACCCAAATGGATTGACAGCGTGCTTTAAGTGCCAGGAATGTGATCCAGGTAAAAAAGCCAACTAACAGGTTGAACGAACAGATTAACAAAAGGATCTTTGGGTGGGGTTTCTCAAGTTTAGCCTTTCTTTGGGTGGTCTTATTCTGATTGCAAGGTAGCTGGAGAATGTTGGGTTTGTTTCCTGTTACTCCCCAACTTTTTTTTTCCTCCCATTTTTATCATAGCCCCTGGATAATACACCTTGGGGATCTTTGAAGTAGAACTAGGCTGCTCTCAGGGTTGAATGGGTGAGATGCCTCTGAGTCTTTAGGACTTCATCTTTAGGACTTCAAGATGACCCAACATTTGAGAACATTTGTAACTCTTGTCTTGCAGTGGCTCATCTGAGAATTAAGAACCCGTGTCACTATCGGAAGAACACAGAATGCATCTGCAAACCAGGTTTTTTCTGTTTTCACAAACTGGACGAAGGTTCCTGCGACGTGTGTGTCAAACATACTATCGCTCCTCCTGGTTTCAGGGTGACACACGTTGGTAAGATGATGATGATGCAATATTTGTGCTTTTGATCCTCTTTCTCTGAGGTGGTCTCTGAAAATTTGCATTTCTGGACGAGGAGAGGTTGTTTCACCAAGCCTCTGCAATTATCCAACAGTTTTGCTGTGGGTCCGTCTTGCCTTTCCCAGGCAAAGTTCTTCCTATCTCCTTCCATGGAATCAGACTTGGAAAGGACCATAGTCCAACCCTAAGTTCTCCTCTCTTGCAGTTTGAAACAGGATAGAGTAATTGTTGCTCTGCAAGTAAGTGAAGAATATTCAGAGGAAAATTGGTCCCCTAGCATTACCTTAGCATTACCCCTATCAGAAAGATCTCAGGACTTTTCTCAAGAAACGTCTCCTCTTGCTCTGTTTCACAAAACTGATTCCAAAGAGATACTTTTGCCATAGTTCTGTTGGAAAACTAGAAAAACGGTCATTTCCAACAGAATTAGGGCAAATTCTTCAAGGAACACCAAACATCCTACCTCGTTCTTCCCTCTTCAGCCATTTTATCTCCACAACAACCCTGGGTGGTAAGTTAAACTGAGAAATCTCCATTGGGCCAAGTAAATTTACTAACTGATAAAGGGAATTAACAAACAGATCGAGCAGATGTCTTAAAAGAAAGCTTTGTTTAAAGTCCCCAGCACTGGGCTGATGAAAATACGGTATTTTGAAAAGAGAGAGATGGTTTTGGAATCAGCAAAACTGCTTTTCTAATGATGAAAACAACTCGTAGGCTTCACCCTTGCTCTGCAGTGCTCTGAGACTATTCAAAACCCATCAATGTGTTCTTTTTACAGGCACCGAAACTCATGACACCATATTTGAGCCCTGTCCTGCTGGGACGTTTTCAGCAAGAGAAATGTCATTTTCTTGTACAAAGTGGACAAAGTAAGTATCCTTCAGCTACTCCACAAATGTGGTCTGTTTGATGCTACGTTCTCTAAAATCTTCCTCCTTCTTGCCTTTTCTAATAATTCCCACTTCCTGCAGATGGATGGATGGATGGATGGATGGATGGATGGATGGATGGATGGATGGATTACGTGCCATCAAGCTCTTTTTGACTCGTGGTTGTCACATACATAGATTTTCTCCATGATGATCAAGGGCCAGAAGAGAGGAATATTTTCCTCCTGGGGGCATTTTCTTTTAAAGAACAGGAATGGGGATGCTGAAAAAGGAAAGAAAGTTCTTGAATTGGTGGATCGTCAACAGTTGCAAACTTGGCCAGCAGATTTTTGTAAATGTTTGCAAACAAAAAGAATGGTTTGTCTGTGTGCCTGGGCCGTCTTGTAGAAAAAGAAAGGACAGGAGAATATGAAGGACTTTGAATTTGCTCAACTGGGAAAAATGAGTTAAGTAATTCATTCTTCCTGAGCTGGAAGGCACATATGTCACAGCAGTCAGTTGGAAATGCATTTATGAGGAAGTCATATGAGAAAGTGTCTGGCCCAAAGTCACCCAGCTGGGTTCTGTGCCTAAGTCAGGACTAGAACGTGGGCTTTCCTGGCTTTTAATCCAGGACCTATAAACACTACAACAGACTGTCTCTCTCTGGTGAATGAACACCTATTAGTATTTCCAATTCTTTTTTTATTTCTCTCATTG